CTGTATGATTTCAGTTCTTCAAACTTTGTTCGGGATTGCTTTTTCACTCAGCACATTGCATAAACATTTGAAAAGAAAATGCATTCTATACTTATTGAGTATAGTGTTCTATAGATGTCAATTAAGTTGGTTGGTTAATTGGTTATTTATGTTATTAGTCAGTTAACTGAGTTATTCAAATCTTTCCTACCCTTACTGATTTTTTTCCAACTTCTTAACTTCTCAGTTACCGAGAGAGATATGTTAAAATCTCCAACTCATAATTTGGATTTGTTGGTTTGTCCTCTTTGTTATCTAAACTTTTGCTTTATATGTTTTTGTGTTATTAGGTCTATGTAAATTTGACTATTTAATCTTGATGAAATATTCCTTTTTAGTCTAGTCATACTTCTTGCCTTAAAGATTGACTTGTCTGATATTAATATAGTCACATGAGCTTTATTTTGGTTAATGTTTACAGAGTATATGTTTTTCCATCTGTTTGTTTTTATCTTTTTATCTGTGTTATATTTCAGGTGTCCTTATATTTCAAGGCCCTCCTATAAGCAGATATAATTGAGTATTGGGGGGCAGGGTTGGTGCAGAATGTTAACTTTCCTATTAATTGTTTTATTTAATCCACTTTTATTTAATATAATTATTAATTTGGATTTAGCTGTTTTGCATTTGCTTTTTGTTTTCTCTTTGTGTGAGTTCTTCCTCACTTCTCTATCCTTCCTTTCTTGCCTTTTGGATTAGTTAGGTATATTTATTACCCCATTTCTCTCTCCTTAGCTTTTAGGGATACGTTCTTATGTAATTCTTTTTTTTTTTTTTTAAGATTTTATTTATTTATTTGACAGAGAGAGATCACAAGTAGGCAGAGAGGCAGGCAGAGAGAGAGGAGGAAGCAGGCTCCCTGCCGAGCAGAGAGCCCAATGCAGGACTTGATCCCAGGACTCTGGGATCATGACCTGAGCCGAAGGCAGAGGCTCAACCCACTGAGCCACCCAGGTGCCGTTGTGTAATTCTTTAGCTAGTTATCCTGTGCAAATATGTATCCTGGACTTACCAAATCTTCTTTATTTTTTTTTTAAAGATTTTATTTATTTATTTATTTGGCAGAGAGCGATCACAAGTAGGCAGAGAGGCATGCAGAGAGAGAGGAGGAAGCAGGCCCCCCGCCGAGCAGAGAACCCGATGCGGGGCTCGATCCCAGGACCCTGAGATCATGACCTGAGCCGAAGGCAGAGGCTTAACCCACTGAGCCACCCAGGCGCCCCCCAAATCTTCTTTAAATAAGTACTTTGTAACCACTCCCCAAGTAATGCAAAATTCTTAAAAAAGTTTGGCTGCATTTGTCTCCTCCTTCCATCCTCTGTGCTGTTGCTTTCATATAATTTACTAATACATACATTATAAACTCTACAAATCATTGTACAAGTTTTTGTTCTAGTCAGTTCTTGTTCTAAATTCTTTTGTATCTAGCACTTTTTTATTTGCCCTTTCTTATGCTCTTCATTTCTTTCAGTTGCATCCTTCTGCCTGGGATTACTTTTCCTTCAGCCAGAAGAACTTCCTTTTTATTTCCTGTAGTTTAGATTTGCTAGTGACAAATTCTCTCAGTTTTGATTTGTCTGAAAATATTATTTCACCTTCATTTTTGAAGGATTTTTTTCCACTGGGTATAGAACTCTAGGTTGGCAGTTTGTATATATTAGCCCTTTAAATATATCTCTGCTGCTCCCAACTTCTATAGTATCTGTTAGGATGTCAGCCATCAGACTTATTGATGCTCCTGTAAGAGTAATGCTTCTTTTCTCTGATGGGAAAAAAAAAAACAAAACGAAACAAAACAAAACAAAACCTCTGTTTTTCAGTTCATTTATATTTTATCTTTTATTTTCAACAGTTTAACAGTTATGTGTCTTGGTTTAGTTTGAGGGACTTTTTTGGAGGGGGGGATTTTTGCTGCTTGTAGATTGCTGAGCTCTTCTTTCATTGGTTTCTAAATATTACATTTGCCTAATTCTGTCTTCTCCTGGGATTATAGTTATGCATATTTTGGATCCATTGACTATGCCCACATGTCTCTAATGCCCTAATCTGGGTTTTTTTTCCCTATATTTTTGCTTCACTTTGGATGTTTTCTATTGATTTTTCTTCAAGTTCGTTAATCCTTTCTTCTGATGGATCTTGTCTTCCCTTAAATCCATCCAATGAGTTCTTAATTTCTCATGTTACATTTTTAATTCCAGGATGTTCATTTAATTTTTTATATAGATTCCAGTTTTCTGTGGGTGTTATCTTCTCTTACATTTTGTTTATCTTTTCCTCTACCTTCTTTAACATATTAACTATGATTTTTTTTTTATTTAACTATGATTATTTTAAAGTCTCTGTTCCATTATCTGGATCATATATGAATCTCCTTCTATTGTCTGTATTTTCTCTTGATTACCAATCACTTTTTCTGCCTCTTTTTACATCTAATATTTTTTGTGATATACTGGGTATTTTATATAAAAGAACTGTTGAGGCTCCAGCTAGTATCTTCCATTAGAAAGAATTCTTCCTTTCCTCTGTTAGCTAATAGGATAAGGGCCTATTCCTCTCAATCTAATCATGGATTGAACTAGTCCAGGTCTGGATTATATCTGTGGCTTTTACCTGTTTCTTGGGTGTGGGCCTCCGGGGCTCTTGATTGAGAACCTAATAGGTCTCTCTGTTTTCTCAGTCCTGAAAAATTGCAAGAGATTGTCCTACCTTTAGAGGTTAGGGGTTTAGTTCTTTAACCTTTTACTCCTTAACAATTTCAAAATATAGCATTTGTCTTGAAGAGGGGATATGTGTTTGAGGTAGACCGCCTCCATCTAGTGGGACCTTATTTATCCCTAGAACCACAAGATTAAAGGAGATTTCATTCCACCTTGTAGAAGCTCTCAGCCTAGCTTCGTATATCCAGTGTGCAGGCTCAGAACTTAGCAAGTGTCCCATGGGGAAAATTGGCCACACATATGGAGCTCAAGTTCCAATCTGTCACAACAACTTGTTGGATTTCTCTCTCCTCCAGTAGAGGTCTTCTGCACAGACCACACCTGATCCTCAGTTCATGCCCCAAATTGGCAAATGTCCTCAGGAAAGAAAACAGTGTCAGCTACCTCAGAAGCCTTCCCCACTCATGTCTGGAATTCCAGTTCATCTAGTCCTTGTGATTTCTACAACACTGCAGTGTCTCTTCAAAGAATGTATCTGACTTTTCCTAACTGTTGCATTAGCAAAACCGCATTGCCATAATCTTATTACATCCTGCCTAGACGCATAAGCAGCATTACCCTCTCCCTGCGCACTGTGATTAGTTTATAAGCCAGTCTCCCTAGTTCTTCTCACGCAGCTTCCCTTCATACTTAGAATAATATCAGATTCATTTTCACCATCTGCAGAGTCCTACCCAATCTTACTGCTACTCCTTTTTTTTTTAAGATTTTATTTATTTATTTGACAGAGAGAGAGAGATCACGAGTAGGCAGAGAGGCAGGCAGAGAGAGAGGGAAGCAGGCTCCCCACTGAGCAGAGAGCCCGACGAGGGACTCAATCCCAGGACCCTGAGATCATGACCTGAGCCGAAGGCAGAGGCATTAACCCACTGAGCCACCCAGGCACCCCTGCTACTCCTTTTCTAACCTGATCCCCTGCCACTCCTTTCTACTCACTCACTTCTAGCTAAACTGACCTCCTTACCATTTCTCAACCCCCCTGACATGTTCCCATCTCAGAATCTTTGCACTTGTTATGTACCCTCTACTTGAGAGGCACTTTTCTCAGGTTTTCATTAGGCTTTGCCTTTATTTCATTTGGGACCTCTGTGTAAATGTCACCTCCTCAAAGAGAACTTTCCTCACCCCTCTCTCCTTACCCTCCTTTAGTTTTCATCATAACACTTACCTGGTATTATACTGTGTATTTATTTGCCTGTTTTCTGTCTCCCCAACTAGGAGGTAAGCTCCATCACAGTGAAAACTATGTTTTGTTAACCTATAGTAAGTGCTCAGTAACTATTTGTGGAATGAATTAGATGTGCTTACCTTGAAGCATTCTCAAGGAGAAGATGAATGGTTGGGAGTAAAATTGAAAGTACCCTAACATAGATGTCTCCAGAATGCTTTGGAGGTAGGGTGGTACTGACTTCGTTGGGGAATGGTCAGACAAGACCTCAGGAAGGAGGTGACCCTGGAGCTGAGAGTTGGAATCTGAGTATTGATGTTTTCTTGACAAAGAAGAATAGGGAACTCAATATACATGAATGAATTGGTGTTCAGAAAACAAGTGGGCTAGAACACAGTGGAGGTGTGTGTCAGGAAATGACATCAGGCATAACTGCAGAGTAAAGCAGGGATTAGGTACCAAAAGTCCTTGGATATCAGGATAAAGAATTTGGACTTTACATTAAAGGTCATATGGAGCAAAGATTTTTGAACTAGGGAGAGATGCTGTCAGATATATGTATTTTCCATGTGTTTCACTATCATTGCAATAATCACATGAAAATTTTAAGTAGATTGGTGTAGAAAATGCCTAACTTGCTTGTCAGGGCCCAGTGTCAAAACATAAGTCCTTATCCCAGTTCACTGTATAACCCGGAGAAGGCATCATTTCCTCTGCTAAGCCTTGGATCTGCATTCTTAGCAGGAAGGGATTGTAGGCTTCTAAAGTCATTCTGTCTCTGAGCCTATGATTCTGTTTATATGCTTTAACTAGATGCCTTGGGGAGAAAAATTTAATATTTTCTCTGCATCTGCCAGAAATAATTAAAACTTCCAATTCTAACCAATATAAATTCAGTTCTCCTCTGAGATTTTCTAACATTTAGGTCAGATACCAGGAAACCAGCTTCTTGGGATAAAACTACCCAAGCAGAAGTATCAAGTCTTCCCCACCCCCCCACCCCACCCCACCCACACTGTTTGGGATGGGAATGCAGGTGGGAGGAGGGGGTGATAGAATGAGTCTTTTTCTTGCAGTTGTGATTCCAAAGAATCCCTATCCTGCATCTGATGTGAACACTGAGAAGCCCAGCCTCCACAGCAGCACCAAAACTGTCTTGGACCATCAACCAGGGCAGAGGGGGCGTAAACCAGGAAAGAAGCGGGGCCGGACACCCAAGCCCCTAATTCCCCACCCCATCTCTACCCCATCCAAGTCAGCTGAACCTTTGAAATTCCCAAAGAAGAGGGGTCCCAAACCTGGCAGTAAGGTAGGTAAAAATGTGGGTTTCCTAGAAAGGGATAAAGGGTTATAAAGGGGTAATGCACCCGTATCCATCCATCTTGGAAAGGGGCATGTCTGGCCCTATTTTCCACCTTGTGTATGCTTTTAACAGGAATTTCCTAAATTGTCATCCCTGCTTATCTACTTAACTGGGAGTTGGTAATACTAGAGATAGGATGGTGTGGATAAGAAACAAATTTTGACTTTGAAAGCTACTCACATTTGAGGGAATTCTGGTCTAATGTCTTCCCTAGATGGAAGACCCTGCTCCTAATTGTTAACCTCTCCAGAGTAGATGCCCAGGCGCAGGAACAGAAACAGAAACCTGACTCTATAAATGTATTTCTTTTTCTATCCCTGCCCCTTCTTTTAAAAAGAAAGAAAATTACCGAGTACCTAGTAAGTATCAGGCTCTGTATCAGACACCTTTACATACATATCACATGATGATCACAAAACTGTAGGAGATGGGTAGTGTTAATGTTATCTAATAGTTAAGTAATTTAAGACTTAGAGATATTAAATGACTTCCCTAAGGTCACATAGCTAATAAACAACAAAGGCTCCAGAGATGGGGCTCCAGAAGTTCTAGTTCCAAGGTCACTGCTGCCCTGCCATGGGTACCACAGGCACTCTCCCACATTTCCTGAAGGAGATAACGCTTACCTCTCATGCAGGAAAAGACTGCTGAGTCAAGCTTCACTGAGCACTGTTAACTGCAAGTACCACCTTTTAGTCATGACCAGTTCTTCATTCATGTCTTCCCTAGGGAAACCATTGATAAAAAATTTCCTCAGCTATTTCTCTATGGCTTCCTTTAGCATCACCTTCTCCACTCACTTTTTGTTAAGGGATTTCTTTGCAACTCCTTCCTGAACTAGACTACCTGAGTTTCAGTATGGAAATGATACCTAGTTCTCCCTGGACCCCCCTTTTTGATGCCATGAGTTCTTCCCTAAGTTTGATTGGTTGGTTGGTTAGTTGGTTGGTTGGTTAATTGGTTTTGTTCTGTTTATTAATTTCAGCTGACTTCAGTTCTTCTAGAATATAAGCTCCTCAAGGTCAAGAACCTAATCTTAATCTTCTCTTTTTCTCCTGTAGTGCCTTCCATCTCAATCTCTTTGGAGATGTTCAATAAATGCAGGATGGATGGATGATTTTAGTTATGATGTTCTAATTGAGATTATCTCTTGTTTATCAGCTTTGAATTCTTGGTGTCACATCCTGATCTTTCTATGTAACACATATGCTCCTGATCTAACCCTTAACCCAGTTCCTGGTTCATTTTTATCTCCACTACTCTCTTCTTATTCTTCTGCTATGGAGAGAGACTGAAAGCTCTAAAGATTCCAAGGCCAGAGAGGCCAGGCTTTTGATAATGTGAAGACATTTTAAGGACATCCAATTAAAGAGGAAAAAAACTTGTAAAGTTTCAAAGACAAAACCAGAACCAAAAAGTAGAAACTCAAGTAGACAGGCTTTGTCTCAACATAAAAGGAACAGTTAAATCTATCACAAAACGGATGTAGTGATCTGTCAAAAGAAAGATAGAAAGGAATGGAAGGAGGAAGGAAGAAAGGGAAGGAGGGAAGGTAGTGATCTGTCAATACCATCATTAGAGGCATTTTGTCAGGGGCTGGATGACTCATATGGGATGGATGTTTTCAGGAAGAGGGAAATAGGAAAGGGATGGTTGGATTAAGTGGCCTTTAAGATCCTTCAAAACCTAAACATTATGATTCTACAATTGCCTCTGTTCTGCTTCCTCAGGCAGTCCTAAACATAGTAATAACCAAAATCCCCTTTCTTTCCAATCCTCTTGAAAACAATAATTCTCATGTTATCCTATATTTTATGGGCTGGCATTTGGCTCACTAATTCTCCCTCCTGTACTTTTGCCTACTTCTATAAATGTCTATGCCTTCCACTTAACTCTGACCCTTCTGTTCCTTTCTGGAGTAAAGTGGTCTCATGATGAGAGCAGAGGCTTCAAAGCTAGACAAACAGGTTTATATCTCATCTCCATTTGTTACCACTTGTGTGACTGTGGGAAACTTTGAATAAGGCTCTGAGCCCGTTTTCTCGCCAATAAAATAGAGATGAGGTAATATATGAAGAGATATAATATATGTAAATGCACCTATCTCAAACAGAAATGCCTTCCTTCTCTCTGCTTTCTGCTACAATATTTGGGCACCAAACTCACCAGGCTTGTTCCTTCAGGGACCCCATGGAATCCTACCACCAACTCTGTGAAGCTGAACTGCTATTTCCTTTCTTCCCTGACTCCTTGCTTATTTAGACTTTGACTTTTAGCAGTATCAAAAAAAATTTAAAAATGAGGAAGTGTCCCTGTCCCATGTATGCTTTGAATGTTTCATAAGTGTTTGCATGATAACTTCCACAGACCAGGCCATTGTATCTATGCCTGCTGTCACTGGTGCTATTGCTTTAGATAATACTCTCCTAGAAGCCAGACAGGTTTATATAGCTCCCAGCAGTGGCCCCTACATGGGACATTTAGTAAAAAAGGGATTTCTGGATCTCAGTGATAATTACGTTTTCCTTGCTTTCAGAATGGCTTTTAGAAAACTATTTCTTGAGAAGAACCTTCTGAGATCTTTCTCCCCTAGAGACTGCCCTCAACAGCATAGAGAAGATGTTAGATCTTTCTCAAATCATTTTTATTACTTCCCTCAATATTGGTATTCTGTACTGCGTGCTTCATTGGAAATATTTATTGAGATTTATCATATGGCAATTGCCATGCTAGGAGCGGTACTCAGAATCAGACCCTCAAGGAGCTCCAGGCTAATAGAGGACACCAGTATGTAAATATTTATGACAATACATTGTGACAGATGCAACACAAAGTATAGACATAGCACAAAAGAGACCAACTGGAGGAAATCTAGAAAATTTTCCTGGATAAATAGATATTAATAAAGTTAAAAGGGGGGGGGGCATTCCAGGCAGAAGGGACAGTTTATTACTCTAAAGGAATGGCACAGGTAAAAGCTGCAGGGTTTTTAGAGAAGTAATTTAGTTAGAGATTTAGACCTTAGAGTATAAAGTTTAAGATGAAAAATGGCAGTTGATGAGCTGAAGAGGTAGGTAGAAGAATGAGTCTGCAGTTAGGGGAAGGGACGTTTCCCTTTTTTAAGAGAGAAGCAAAGTACAAAATAATGTCAAAGTAGGCTTAAGCCTCAGCATTTTTTTTTTCCTTTTTTGCTTTTGTCTGCCCAAATGATAAAGAACCTGGTATTTCAAATGATAATACTGAATCTAGTATAAAAGATATAAAAGACTGTGAGTTAAGCTCTGGCTTAATAGGAACCCAGAATCTTATACGCAGATTCAGAAAATATTTACTAAGCATCTACTATAGGTAAAGCTCTAGGCAAGATTCTGTGTGGAAAACAAAGATACAAGAGCCCCATCCACAGAGATATTTCCATCTCATGGGTGAATTGAGAGCTAGGAAGAGAGGAATCAGAAGACAAGTTACCTGTCACAGGTAGCAAACTTCTCCCCATCCGTTTTGACAGAGGAAGCCTCGGACTTTGCTGAACCCACCACCCACCTCACCAACAACCAGCACCCCTGAACCGGATACCAGCACTGTACCCCAAGATGCTGCCACCATCCCCAGCTCAGCCATGCAGGCCCCCACAGGTAAGAGCAGATCATGTATTAGCTGCCACAAGCCCCAACACCCCCATCTCCTTTCTCTTGTCTTACACCAGTAGTTAGCAACCCCCCCACCAAACCCATCCATTTGTAAACCTAAATCCAATCTTTAAACAAATGTTTTATCTCTGGCATTTGAAATAGTTTCAGAGAAACCTTCATCATTTCAAAACAATGGAAGGAACTTGGGTAGATGTCCTATGACCTCAGAGTTGGGGAACTGGGACATGGTGGGGTGGAGGTGGGGCCATCACCAGGAACCTCCATCCTCCAGTTAGTATTAATATGCATCCTTTCCAGTTCCGGGTGCTCCCTTTTTACTGATCCCTTCCAGAATCCTTCCAGCATCACAATAACCCTGCCACCACTCAAATACGTGTGCAACTGCTCTGATTTTTTTTTTTTTCTCGTGAAAATAGTCTTTACCGGATATTTAGGAAACAGGATTGTCAGAGTTATTTCTCCTTAAGAACCTTCCCACAGGGCTGCTCACTCAGACAGCACAACTGTAAGCCAATAAGCTGCCCAGGAAGACCTTAGCAATTTAAAATCATTGAGATACTTTATAGTTAGACTTTTTTCTGTAAGTCCTAATTCAAAGTAGAGCTTACTCTTCTGACTGTTAAAGAAGTGGCACAAAATTACGCTAATCAGCTTGGCTTTTTGTGTTTCTTTTCTTTCTTTCCTGGGAGGGGAATTCAGCCTTTCTACAGCCACTTGAATTTCACAGAGCTCTTAGTCAAAGGCACACAGCTCTTCGTTGGAGAAACCAGGGCTGTGAGCCGCTTCACTACCTGGGGCTCCCGGCTGGCCCTCAAGGGCGCACACTTCAGTTAGCGCAGACTGGGAAAAGAGCTCCTGCTGTGGCAAGAACAGGACGCTCTAGGGGTTTTGTCTGCAGAGCCAGCTTTTGAGGTATTCATTTGATGTGGTTTTTTTCCTTAAAGGAGTCCTTTTTCCTGTAGTGTAACTGCCCCCATTGTCACCAGTCATTGTCTTCCTAGCTTGGCCCCCCTTCCCCTTCCCAACCTTCAGACTCTCCCTCAGTAGTTTCTGCTGCAGCAGATTTTGAGGAAAACTGCGTCAGTGGTGAAACATCATCCTTGGGAACCATCATCTCTGCCCTCAGTTCAGGTAAAATAAAAATAGTCGCTACAGGCTTCATTTCTGAGATCATATCAACAAGCCAGTCCAAGTTAGGATCTTGTAATGACTTCTTTTTTACTTGAACTGGTAAACTCTCCTAAACCCAGTTCTAATGGAACCTTAAGCCTCCTTCCTTGTGACACTTTTGGTGGCTTGGTTTGGTCTGGCTCATCCCCACTTTGTACAAGACTGGTCTTTAGAGATAGGCTTGATTTCAAAGGCTTGGACTCTCCAGTGAGTGGAAGCAGAGTAGGAATGGCCTTTTGCTCCCCTGAGGTAACAGGTCTTAGAGCCGTGGTTCCACCTCTGGGTTTATCTCAGAATTTTAGCTGCCGGGCTGTCATCCCACATCTCTTCCTCAGCATCAGTTAGTGAGCAGGGACTTGACAGCAGCGCAGGCTTCTGTAGGACAAATAGGTACATTGACGGTTTGGTTAGAGACTCTTTTGGCTAGTAAGGTCACTCTTCAGCCTTTTTAGACCTTAATGGGAAGTTTTCACTGTCTTCTGAGGTCCCTTTTACATATGAGATTCCATTCGTGGGAAATTTACCAAGTCGAGATAATCAGTCACCTTCTGAGAAAGGGTCTGTAGTTTCCGTAGAACTTGAGGCAGTGCGTTCGAAGCTGCTGGTTCTTTCTCCTCCCACCATCACCTCTGGTCCCAGGAGAGAGCCCAGCGCTCTTAGGCTGTGAAGAGTAACCAGTACAAGGGAACCGCTGGTACCGTGCTGGCTGGGTGATGCCTGAGGCAAGGTGACTTTCTTCAGCCACTCCTGAATGAAGTGCTCCAGGGAGGCCTGGAGGTGAGACAGGAGCACCTTCCACATGTGCTCGCTGTGAACCTCAAACCTCTCGAGCAGCACGTGACCGGAACAGGGCCAGCGAGAGCAGGCGAGGGCTTCTGGGTTTCTCCCTGTGCATTGTTTTCAAGGGACCAAGAAAATGAGGAAGAAAACTCTTAAAGGCTACTGGCCCTGCACACAGCAACTGATGAAGCAGGAGAGGCACTGACCATGGCGCTATTCAGTCCTCTCACGAGCAGCTGAAATCAGAAGAATTCCATTTCTTTCATCTTTTCTCTTCAATGTTAAACTTTTCAAGAAATTCACAACTTCTAGAAAATCATTCCTGAAGAAGTCATGGGACAGTAAGGTGCAGAGTGCTGGCTGACATTTTAGAATGGAATTTAGCAAGATCTGTTGAAAGCTGGAGGAAGCGTCCACCAAAACTGAAATCCAGAGTTACCATTAGTTCCCAGTGAGTGCCGCCTTCTTTTCAGGACCTCTATGGCTGGAGATTGATGAGAGCAAAAACTAACCTATAAAATCCCAAACAAAGCCCTGGCTGATTTTTTTTTTTTTAACATCATCGGTGGTGGCAAACCTTATTAATATGAGAGTGAACTTGATTTTGGAGACCAACCAATGAACATGTGATTCAAGGTACAATGTGGTGGCTGCGGTGGGCAGGTAGTCAACCGGGGCCATGCGTGTCTGCTTCCATTTCATAAACCAGCCATCTGGGAAGATAACTTAAAAAGAGCTACACCACTGGAATAGATACACAGTCTCCCCAGGGGAATACTAGAAAGAACAGTGCTCATTTCTTATCTGAAAAGTAGAGATACATGTGTGAAACCTTACTCTGATTACTCTGCAGGTCTTCCACCTTGTTTAGAGAAGTTGAAGGTATGGGTATGATCCCCGGGGAAGTTAGCATAGTCTTTTCCGTAGGACTTAAGTATGTTTCCACCCAAATTCTAGAACACTAGAGCTTGAAGGGAAGGCCAACTCTAGTGTCTTCACCACATAACCTATGAAAGACCACATATAGCCTGCCTGTGATATTTATGTCAGCTCTAGTAAGGGTCCTACTACATGATTTCTCCAGGTACATCATCTACATCTAGCTCCAGCCAATTCCGGGGTTTGCCTAGTCCCAGAGTGTCATTAGATTAATGAACAGTGGCCTTTGCCCCAAAGCTCTGTGGATGAGGAAGAAAAAAACAAATACACACCTTGGTAGGAATATTCTGTCTGTCTTCCCACTTCATGGCATACCCCCCAAATGCCTGTCTATTTGCTCAGGTCTCCCACATCATTCTAGATACTACTACGGTGCCTGTGTGCCTTTTCAGCAGAACCTGGAAGACCCACAGCAATGGGGGCGTCATGACTGTGCCACACCATTCCATTTAAATGTTGTATGTCCCGTTTACATCTGGCGGCCGCTGAGCTGGTATGCCTCCCTCAGCCTGAATCTCAGAGCCTAGGAAAAGTGGAAACTTACTTCGTGTCTCTGTTTCCTGCTCCTGGCCAGACTATGGCAGTTTTATTGACTTTTTATTGCGTGGCCATCCTCTGCCTGGGCCTTGGCTCATTTTGTGTGACCTTGATCTCACTTTGCTTTCTGAGCCTCAGTTTCCACACTTAATGCAATGGAAGGATTAGTTGAAGTTGCCTTTTACAGACCCTTCAAATGGTAACAGTAAAAGCTATCATGGATTGAAAGCTGCGTGCCACACTGTGTCCTTCATACCTCCCTTGCATTTTTTTTACCTGCACAATACTTTTTAAGAGTTAATTTTATTTTTTATCAGTTATCTATATCCTCATAATTTAAAGGAACGATGGGTTTTTAAGAATTATGATGCAAAAGACAAAACAAACTGGCTCCCTTTTCCACTGTCATTTACTTCGCACCACATGCAATCACTTTTTTTTTTTAAGACTGACTTTAATTATTTGACAGAGATCACAAGTAGGCAGAGAGGCAGGCAGAGAGAGAGAGGAAGGGAAGCAGGCTCCCCGCTGAGCAGAGAGCCCGATGCAGGGCTCGATCCCAGGACCCTGAGATCAGGACCTGAGCCGAAGGCAGAGGCTTTAACCTACCGAGCCACCCAGGTGCCCCTGCAATCACTTTTAATTCAACCGATTGTCTTATTTACCTCCAAACATTGTTTTTATGCTTACATTTTATGTGTATTGTTTTTATGCTTCAGGCATTTTTTAACTGACAGCCTACTTTAGAAGTTAACTCTTATTAATCTCCTTGTCCCTTACCCACCCACATATACTTCCCTATCTTAATACCATGGTATTATCATTTTGATTAGAGTGAAACTTAGTATTTTGTCATTGAAATTTATAGAATGCTATTTTCAGTTGAGCCAAGTAGTGTATTATGATTACTTTTCCTTTGTTGCACATTTTGTTTTCAGAGTAAATCTTGTTGATTTCTTTATGTGTTAATTTTGCTAGTACTTAATAATTCAACTTAAGCTCTGTTACTACTATGTACATCTCTGTGTTCAAGCACAATATATATTCTATCCATTTCAAACTCTCAAAAAGTCTTCCGAAGCCTTCTGAGTTCCTTGACATCTTCTTCACCTCCCTTTTGTATTATTCCCAGTTTGCTCCTTCCCAGTCTTTGTCTTCCCATGTAAATCTTAAGATTTCATGTTTAATTTTATATGAAACCTGTTTGGGTTTTTGTGCTGTTTTTTTTTTAAGATTTTATTTATTTATTTGAGAGAGAGAGAGAGAGAGAGAGATAACATGAATGGGAATGGGGGCAGAGGAAGAGGGAGAAGCAGACTCCCCGCTAAGCAGAGAGCGCATACGGGGCTTGATTCCAGGACCCTGAGATCATGACCCAAGCCCAGGGAAGAGGCTCAACTGACTGATCACCCAGGTGCCTCCTGTTTGTTTTCTTTGAAGCTTCTCTTCATCCCTACTGTTCTACAGTCTTACCTAGGATGAGACACTGCCATGCAGGACCCTGTATGTGCCCATCCATTCTTTAGTTTCTTGAAATTTTTAAAAATTCTTTCATC